AGTTTTACAAGCGAATCAACAAAAATGTTCGCACCTCATGTGTGGAATTTAAATTTGCTGGCAAATACACACACACAAAACATACAGCCAACACACATGCAGACGTCACACACACACACACACACAGACATAGCACACTTTCGAGTATAGATGCAAAGACATTGCTCATACGCCCTGAGAGCCGCGCTGAGTGTGGCAAAGGCACACACTGTGTAAAATTTCATATCAATTTCATTGGGATTAAGTTATATTTTATATTTTAGTGCTTGCCAAGGTGTTGAGGTCTGTTGTGTGTGTGTGTGTGCGTGGCAAGTGTTTTGCTGAGATTTCGTGCACGTGCAGCACTTTGGGTTTTATGTGCAGCGTTTGCAGAAAAATGGGGATTTGCCACAAGCCCAAAATATTGATAGAGCCTTTTAAGGCTTGTCATAGGGCCTAACTCTGACTACAGTATATATGTAAGAGATTGACAGGATAATTAAAGTTAACGAGCAGCAGATCTCTTGCAGAAAGTTAAGCAACAAAAAAATTAAACATGTAAGAAAATATAATAAATGCACGGAAGAAAAAAAGAAAATTTTCTAATGCAAAAACTCTCATTTATTAAAAAGAAAATTATAAAAAATATATTACAAAAGTAATGCAATGAGATTAACACAATTAATATAAAAAAAAACTTATAAAAATAAATATTCTTATGATAGCTTGAAGCTAATGAATTTTCAATTTCATAAATTTTCAATAAACATTTTATCGAAGTCCGCAAAATGCTTCCAAAAATTTCTTGTTAACAATTCTTTTTAAATCGTGATAATAATACGATAATCATATTATAAATAATAATATAAAACCAAAAGCACAAAAAGCTATGCAAGATTCCTACATTAAATCTATATAAATTTCTAATGATTTTATTTAAATAATTTATAATATTTCTTTACATATATATCTGAGAGTTGTAATAGCAAAGTGAGCAGAGTCTATTTGCCCTCACGCCAGCGCAGAGACCCTTACCGCTTTGCCTGACCATTTGCTTAATTCAATGACTTCTGTGACTTGGAACTACACACTTGTGAGTTGGTACTTGGCACACACACACACACACACACACACACACACACACACATACACAGTCAGACACAAGTACAATTTCCTGTTCGAGCCGAAAAATACAAATCATAAAAGTCATGGCCCCAACAGTTCATAAAAAATGCGGCCCAGCGCAGCGATTGCCATACAAACTGGCGCATTACATGGCGAGAATCTGAAAAAAAAAGAAATTCCATGACCGGCATATAATTCAAACACGTACCAATACAACAAAGACACTAGCGAGAGTGCGAGTGAGATAGAGACTGAGGAATGCCGGTGCGCATAGCTGGTGGGCGGTAATCAGGCCATTTCATATGAATAACTTATCAGGCAATGCCGCCTGAGTGTAAGCAATAAATTTCGTTTGTATTACGAATGCGAAGCTGCTTGCGAAAATTTTAAAGCCGCCAAACTATGGTGGCTCCAACTGTGATTGGGCTCCCAGACCCGCCCACAACAACAACAAAATGGAAATTTATTACAGCAAGCAAAATAAACAAAAAAAAAAAAACAAGGTGTTTATTACTTATTTAGGACGACACGCCTACCCAGAACCTGGCAGATGAAAGGGATTAGGAATTGGTCTGATAAGATAACGTCTGCACACCGCACTTCTACATACTTAAAACTAGATTTTTTTTTGTTTTTATATTCAAATTGCATTAAATGATTAAACGAGACTTGCTATTGATTATTTTAATTCTTGACATTTCAAAGTATTATAAATTACTCTAGTTTATATACATAATAATAAAATATTATATAAAGTAA